GACTACTGTACTACTGCTTTACGACTACAACCAGGGCGCGGCGTGCCTCGGGCTTGATCGCCGGCATGGCGGCGCCCGTGCCTCGACCTACGACTGCTGCGTGGCTGCGATTAAGAAGGCTGATTTCGGGCGGCTTGTGCGGGACGAGTTGAAGGGCTAGCCCCTGTACCGTCCTAGCTGAAGGCTGTGCGGAATTGGCCTTATTACAGTAAATGACGTACTACGAAGATCCTGTAATGAAGAACGGTATATTAATTGTGTTAATGCAATGTAAATGAAATCATTCTCTCTTATCTCTAGTGCTTATTCTTCTTTTGCTTCAGCTTCAATGTAGGCCCTCTCTACCTTACGTCGCTTGCGCTGCCGATACTTACGGAGTTCGCCGGAGGGAAGGTTTGCTGCCGGCTCCCATGTTGGCTCCCATGCGGTTAGGAATAGGACCCTTCCGTTCTCGCGGCGGTCGTCGAGAATCGTCTGCATCTGGTAGGTCGGCTGGGCTGTTAAGCTCACTCCAGCTGGTAGAACCCATTCCGCTTCGCCCGCATCATCGCCTTGACGTGCAGCATCAATGAGACGGGGCTTAGTGATGCGGGCTTGCGGTACGGCGTCAAGAAGACGCCGTATGGCGCCTCCAACGTCGGGTGACGAGCTTCGTTGAATAAAGCCCCACGACCTTAAAAATCGGGCGGCCTCTCGATCGAGGCGGCCCCACCCACGCTGCTTTAGGTGCTGCTGGCACCATTCAAAAAACTCAGTCGCGGAGGTGGGTGGAGCGGGGGCGGAGCCGAAGTCGTGTCCAGGGGTGGCCATTGTGAGGGCGGATTGCGGAATGAACATCGATAAAGTAAACTTCAGATAGATAGATATTTGGCGTTCCGTTTTGTGCATCTATTTATAAATTTAAGAGAGATGTTCTATTTAAGTGCGTTCTCATGGATGAAGAGAAGTTTCACAAGAAAAAAATATTTTATCACTTTGCAAGAAAGCTAGCTCAAGCAAAAAATCAAAATATTCAAGTGCTTTTATTGACGCAACAAAGTGTTTTCATCGATGCAACACTATCTAAGCGTTAGTCCATGCTAAGTGCGTGGCCGTTTGTCCGAGGACGACCAGCAGGAACTTGGGAACTCGCGCCGCTAATATGGAGAGTTGCTTGCCGAGTGCGGCGGCGCTTCCTCGCTACCGTGCGGTTCACGAGGGTTCTCTTCCCATCCAAACCGGTGTAGCTCTTAACTTGAAGAGCAAACAGAAGGTGAATACAAATTGAGAACTTGAAGTAATACTTGCACCCACATGTCATCGCAGTAACGTCGACGCGCCAGCCACCATCCGGCTGACCCTCCATCTCCATGCGAGCGTAATTGGTGCCCATCTGAGCCGAGACAGGGGCTGTTTCTCTACTACGCCCCAACTCAGGTAGATAAACGCGAGAACAGCCGCGCGACAATACACGAACCTCATTCGGGTTTGGGGACGCCAGTAAGAACTCAATGCTCGACCGTCCAGGAGTCCTGTCGAGAAGGAGATCTCGGCGCCGGAAATCTTTTACTCGAGCATTGAGCTGTTGAGTTGGCTCAGGCAATTCCTTGAATACCTTGGGGGTGACAGATTGATTCTGACAGCAATCCGCGAGCAACTGGACCAATGTTCCGATCTTGTGCTTCGTTCGGAGAGTGTAGTCACGCTTTATCAACCTGTTGAACTGTTCGACCGGGTTGTTCGTTGTGGCAAATCCACTCGGCGTATGAAAACACTGCCATCGCCAAAATGCGCTTGTT